TCATTTGTGGAATGATGGACAAAATATTTTTATTAATATTGTTTAAGAACACATGAGCATTTAAAAAAATCATTTCATATTTTAAGCTAACTTAACACTACAATAAAATAAAATTTAGTATTTTTTTATATAAACTGCTACAAGAAAGTGAATCTCTTATAACTGTTTTTAATAAAATTTAACTGTGCAGTTGAAAACAGAAACTCATATTGTCAATGCTAAAGTTAAGTTTACAGTCTTCCACTATAATTTTTTTTTAATTTATCCTGCCATGATTGGCTCTTCTTAACAGACTTGTGCTTTTTTTTTCTCCCCCCTTAATGCTTCCTCCAAATCCTTATCAGGAAAGGTTAACTATGACTTGAGCAACACTGAGTCTATGATCTACTAAGAGGTATCTTCTTCAGGTGTATAAATAATCTTTAATCAAATTTTACTCATAATATACCAGTTATAATATACATAGATCTATACTAGCATTATTTAAATAATATCATGTTTATTGTGATCAATAATAACCAGGATTAATACTGATAGATTAAGTCTAATGTCTCTTGATATGCACAATGAATGGAAGCATTGACTAGTCCTGCATCATCCCCATGATCAGTTGCAAAGCTGACTGTGGTGAACCATAGGATTTTCATGGGTTAATATTCAGAAGTTCGGCTGAAACCTGTTTAGCATCATAGCAACATGCAAGCCTCCACTGACAGATGGGTGGCGGTTGTACATGAGGCGTATTGGCTGGGAATTGAACCCAAGTCTCCTGCATGGAAGGAGTCTTGGAGGCACAAATGGTTTAGCACTCCTCTGGTAACTAGAAGATTGGCAGTTCGAACCCACCCAGCCACTCCACTGGAGAAAGACCTGGTAATCTGCGTTGGTAAAGATTACAGCCAAGAAAACCCTACGGGGCAGTTCTATTATGTCCCATGGGTTCATTTTGAATTGGAACTGACTACACAGCACCGAACAACAAGAACTCCTGCACGGAAAAAGAGAATTCTGCCACTGAATCACCACTGCTCCCTTGAAGCATATATGCTCATTTTCCATGTGTTTATTCTAGCTAATAACAAAATCCATCACCATCGACTGATTCTGACTCATAGCTACCTCAAAGGACAGAGTGGAATTGCCCCATAGGATTTCCAAGGAGCGGCTGGTGGACTCAAACTGCTGACCTTTTGGTTAGTAGCCATAGTTCTTAACCACTCACCACCAGGGCTTTTATTGTCTGTTAATTCATTGAATTTATTAATACTTATTGAGTGACTACTATATGCCCAACATTCTTCTAGCACTAGAAATTCTGCAGGAATGAACAAGTAAAGACAAAATGTCCTGCCTTCTAGAATATACACTCCATTTAGGTATACAGAAAATAACAATAACAATAAGAAGAAAATATACAGTGTTTGAAATAGCAAGAAGGACTAAGGAGCAACTGATAAAGCAGAGAAAGAGGACATAAAATGTTGGGGTCAGGTATATGTGGTAGGCAGAATAATGGACCCCCAAAACTACATGTCTTAATCTCCAAAACCTGTGAGTATGTTATGATACATGAGAAGGGAGCACTAAGGTTGCACATGGAATTAAGGTTGTTAATCATCTGACCTTTCACTGAGGCAATTTTCCTGGAATGGATGGGTCCAATGTAATAACAACAGTCCATTTAAGTGAGAAAAGGAGGTAAGAAAGTCAGAGTCAAAGTCAGAGAGAGAATTAAACATGCTATAGTGCTGCCTTAGAAGATGGAGGAAGAGGCTACAAGCTTCGGAGTATAAGCCACCTCTAACCAAAAACCAGTTGCCGTGGAGTCGATTCCAACTCATAGCAACTCTATAGGACAGAGTAGAACTGCCCCATAGGGTTTCCAAGGAGCGCCTGGTGGATTTGAATCGCTGACCTTTTGATTAGCAGCTGTGGCTCTTAGCCACTATGCCACCAGGGTTTTCAAGCCACCTCTAGAAGGTGGAAAAGATGAGGCAAATTCTCTCCTAGCACATTCAGAAAGGAAAATACCCCTGCCTACACCTTGATGTTAGGCTGATTAGACCCATGCTGGATTTCTCATCCCCACAACTGTAAGATAAATTAGTGTTGCTTTAGGCAACTAAAAGTCTGGTAACTTGTTACAGCCGCAATAGGAAACTAACTCATTATGGCATTTTAGATAGAATGACCAACAAAATCTTAAGAAGACTGTGAGAAAAGATATGAAGAAAGTAGGGGAGTTATCAGCAAAAAAAGAGGAAGATCCTTAGCAAGACGGCTTGACATCATGGCTGCAACAACGGGCTCAAGCATAGCAGCAATTGTGAGAATGACGCAGGAATGGGCGGTGTTTTGTTCTGTTGTGCAGAGGGTCACTATGAGTTGGAAACGAGTCGACAACACGGCAGCTCACAGCAACAACGGGGGAGTTATTCATGAGTATATTTCAGGAAGAACATATCAGGCAGAGGGAAGAGAGCAGGCAAAGCTGCAGTGAGTGAAGGCAGGAAAAGCAGAAGATAATATCAGAGCGTTAAGTAGGAAGGCAGACATTGCGTGAGGACTTTATTCCGAGTGATGTGAACGGCCTCTGAGGATTTCAGAGCAGAGGAGCACCGGGACCTGGTTTATGCTCTAATCTTACCATTATGGCTGCTTTATCGGGAACAGACTGGTGGCAGTGTGCTCCTTTGGGCTAATCCTCAGTGAGTAAAGAATAAGCCATCCACCTACTTATCAGCCCCTAAACGCTTAAGGAGATGTAGTGCTGGTCCTAATCTCTTGGATTTGAGTCGAAGCAAATTTATTTTCCTTCTATTGACAGCCAACAGCAACAACAACAAAAATATTGTATTCTTCCAAGATTTCATTAAGAATAAATTAAAATAAGGCCTGGATTTATCCCTCCAGGTATTAGCTCCAGAGGAAGTGGAGGGGGGCTTGGGGCTAGACAGGGATAGAGGCTTTTGTGAAGAGAGAAATGGGCATACAAACAAAAAACTACTGAGGGAAAGAGGAAATATAGATGATTCTTCAGGACATGGATGGGGGAGGGGACGAAAGCATCTGTCTTATAATATTTTCACATTGAAAATGAAATGAGTAATAATAGATTGATAAATCTTGGTCAAAAACAGGACAAGACAGCATGCAGATGAGTCAAACCCAGGCATTTATCTAGAAAATGAATGCGATAAGGCAGGCAGGAATTTCCTAGCTTAAGACAGATAGGGTCAAGATACTGAAATGCAGACATGAAGAAACTTAAAAGACTGTGAAAGAAAGCAGCAGAAACCGAGCTGACTAAAGAACACAAACATTGAACTAAAAGGAAATCGGCACCAATATGGGAATTAAGCAGCAGTGGCCAGAATGAAGCTAACCTTCCCTGTGACAATTTTCTGCCAAGGGTTAGAAGAAATCTCAGATTGTTGTTATATCTGAATTAGCAACAGAATGGCATTTCTTAAATTAAAAAAAAAAAACGAAAGAGAAAAAAGAAAAAGAGTTGAACTAGAGTCGACTCCAAAATATGGTGATCCCTTGTGTGTCAAGAGTAGAACTGTTCTCCATAGAGTTTTCAGTGGCTAATTTTTCTGAAGAACTTTACCAGGCCTTTCTTCTGAGGTATCTCTGGGTGGACTCGAACCTCCAACCTTTCAGTTAGCAGCTGAGGATGTTAACCCTTTGCACCACCCAGGGACTCCATTTGTTAAATAAATAGTGGAAATTATAGATAAGATGGGTATGTATATTGGGTTTGTTATTTGTATGCTTTATATTTGTGTTGATGGTTAATATTATATTTTTTATTCATGTATGCTACTTTATTTAAGAATCAATACTATTAAAGCCATGTGAATTTAAAGACAAATGCTCTACAGTCTCTCCATAAAACCATTGGCTATAGATTGAACTTTGGTATAAAATTTATTGATAATTTTACTAGAAAGAAACCCAGAAGGTTTTAGTTATTCCACTGTGAATAAATATGTATTATAAATTAGTTTTTACAACTTGGACAAGAAGACAGAAAATATGAGTAGGATTTGTAATTATATATATACTATAAGATTCATGATTGTAAATTTATTTATGTATAAATGCACTCACTCATTTATTCAGTAAGTCAGTCTGTCATACTTATTGAGTTACTTCCATATAGTAAACACTTTTCTACATGCCAAGGTCCCTTGGTGTTACAATGGTTTGTGCTCCACTACTAACCTAAAAAGTTGACAGTTCAAACATACCCAGTGGTTGTGGAAGAAAGGCCTGGCAATCTACTTCTGTAAAGAGTATAGCCAGGAAAAACCTGTGGAGCAGTTTTGCTCTATAAAACTCATGGGGTTGCCATTATCAGAATCAGCTTGAGAGCAATGGGTTCCTAGCTGCTAGGATAACTTGGTGACAAGAGAGATGAGGTCTCTTCAGTGGCAAAGCTTAATGAAATCTAAGTGAAAAATCTGCAGCTAGAATAATTAAGAGGTATCCTGAAAGACAAAATAAAATATATAAAAGAGATATTTAATGCTTTCAAAGAAAATTAGAGAAGTAGTATATCTACCATAGAAAATGAAAATAAGAACGAAAAAATGGAAATAATTAGAAATCATACATCAGAGTAACTGCTTAAAAATTTTAGTATGCATTTTTCATCTATTTTTCAATTTTTTTTCTTTCTTATAAAGATAGAATCTGCTATATAAATGTTTCTAACTTGGTTGACTTCATGAATTTTGAGTGGGTATATCGTTCTTTAATCTTGTTCTTCACTGAGAAACCTAGCATTTTCATATATGATTGTTACCATAACATATTTAATTATGCCCTAATCATTGGACATTTTGGACTTTTTACTTTTGAAAAAGTACACAGTTTTTGTTAGTGTGTCTTTGTTAGCAAATGTAGATAGAATAATTTTCTAGTTGCAGAGAACTTTATTTTGGAAAACACAATGTGATATTTATATTTTATTATTATCTTTTCCACTTAAGGTGTTATTAGAACAGCTTTGCCGAACATGGACAGGGAAGTCAAAGAACAATACCAAGTGCTCATCCAAGCCAAGGATATGGGTGGACAACTGGGAGGATTAGCTGGAACCACAATTGTCAACATTACCCTCACTGATGTCAATGACAATCCACCTCGATTCCCCAAAAGTAGGTTTTCGTTCTTATTAAGTCTAAATTAGTGCAGCTTTTTAATTTTTTCCCTTGTTATGTCTTTGAATGTTCTAGAAACTGTAATCATTTTCTAGATACTTTTGGTCTGTAGGAAACAGAAACTAATGGATAAAGTTTAAATGCCTTCAAAATTTAAAGTTTTAATCAGAATCATGTATCATGTGCAGTATCATTTTAATAGAAAATAATAAAAAATTGCCAATAATTAAACACTGGTTCTCATGCTACCAGTGCATATTAAAGTAAAATATTTACAATATGTTAGGATCTTGCTCTAACTTCTTATTAATTGAAAAAGTCATATTAACATGTATTTTTATTCAATTTAATGCCAGCATATTTATAATATGTATGCCACCCTATCTTGTTTATATCACGTAATTAGCTTAAGAATTATCTGTCTTCTCCTCAGTGATCATAAGTGCTGAACCACTTTTATGCCTTTCATGTCAATGTCAGATGATATTACCTTGATACTATTTACATTACTTCTGACTGGTTATTTCATTTTAGTTTTGCAATATGTGAAAATTGATACAGTTTCCATGATAACAGCATGATTCACACCTGTATCTTCTCTGTAACTGTGTTTCTTATTGAAAATGAGTGCTTCTGACTTATGTAACATCTTGTTTTCTTTTGTGATGTTACATTTAACACCAATCAGTACCTAGTCGATTCCTGGTACATCGTCAAGCTTTATTTCAGTGTTCCTAGGACTTACAATACAGATGCTGAATGTCTATCTCACTGGTTTTAAATGGAAGCTGATGATAACACTAGGTACTCATTTGCATGAACAGTTAAAAACAAAATGATTTTATGAGTTTATCTAATAAGGGGTGTACTACTGAGAGTATTTAATTAAATGGACTTTTTAAATTTCTTTATCTCTATGATTTTCCATATTTATTACTTCAGGAACCACTCTGTCATTTTCTTCTTCAAATCATCAATCTATATTTTCTTTATAGAAATATTTTTCTTAATGACCAGACAGTCTAATTGCCAAATGTTGAGTGGCAATTAGAAACCCTCGTGCTTTAGGAAATGGAATGGATATGGCGAATGGCTGTTATAAGATATGATATGATTAATAATACAGAGAGTCTTAGAACGAAACTTTTCCTTACTTTGCTATTAACGGAGACAAAAAGATAATTAAGAAGAATAAATATTAAAAGGGAAACAATGCATTTGATTCGGTAGCATATGACATTGATAAAGATATGTTCCTAACTCTAAAAGCACTTTTTTTTTTCCATTACTTAAATGTGGCAAACTGAAATAGCTAGTTGAGGAAGACAGTATGGGAGATTACTTGTATATAAAATGTGGCATAAACTCAGGTACCATTCTGGGTTTTGTGGTTATAGAAACAGTTCCTGAGCAGTGCAAAATGTTTGTGCTGGGCTGTCAACTGAAAGGCTGGTGGCTTGAACTCACTTAGCAGAGCTGCAAAAGAAAGCCCTGCTGACTGCTTCCATACACATTACAGCCATGAATACCCTATGGATCTCAATTCTACTTGTAGTACACGAGGTCACCATGAGTTGGAATCGACTCAATGGCAACAGGTTTAGTTTTTGTTTGGTTATAGAAAATATTCAATCTAGAGCATGTGAAATATTCCCTAGGCAGTGTCAATGTTCTCATTCACAAGGGTGGTAGTGTCATACTGCTACTGATGCTTGTCATATAAGGGACCAAAAAAAAAAATCAAATCAAAAACATCACAGTGGAAATATCCAACCCTTGTGAGTATGGATGAAGGGTGGCTTATAAATGTTTGGCAGGGCTACTGACAAATAGGCTGAGGCAGAGGAAAATGCAAATTCCTTAATGATGTAGAAATTGGAGTGTGTTTAGTAATCAAGATGGTGTGACCAAGTCCCACACAAACAGATAGATCATGTCTAGTTTCACCTACTAGTGGAAAGAGGAACAGACACAACAATAAGCTTGTATAGGATTTAATCAACGCTGAATCTGTAAGTCTAAGGTCTCCATTCTGGTGCACACTTGGATGCAGTGGTGATTCACTGGTGGCTCAGTGGTAGAATTCTTGCCTTCCATGCAGGAGAACTGGGTTTGGCTGTCGACCAATGCACCTCTTCATAGTCACCAACTGTCTGTCAGTGGAGGTTTGTGTATTGTTACGATGGTGAACAAGTTTCATAAGAGCTTCAAGACTAAGCCAGTCTTGGAAGAAAGGCCTGACAGTCTATTTCTCAAAAATCAACCACTGAAAACCCTATGGCTCACAATGTGTTAATCTCAATGTAGTTGGGGTATCCATGAGTCAGGCCAACTGGATGACAGCTAACAAGAACAGCTAGATGAGACCAGAAATCGTGGGAGAGAAGGGAAATGAAAATTTAGAGCCTCTACGTGCTGTTTCGGGAACTTATCTTTGTTTATTTCCTTCTCACAACAACGCTCTGCGATCAGTATTCTTCACATTTTACTGTTAAGAAAACTGAGGCTTAAGGAGATTAAATAACCTGCCCAAGATCACACAATGAAGCGACAATTTTCTTAACTCTGAAGCTTAAATTTTTTCTAGTTTACCTGGCACTATAAAGCCATAGTTTTTAGAACATATTCTTGAAAAATCATGAGATATGTTGAATTGTCCTCATTTGTAAACAGAGACATGATGAGCAGAAATAATATATCAAGTGAATCACTGTGATCAAATGATTTTTCTGCATGTGTTACATGCAGATTCAGGATATAGTTTCAGAATACAGTTTACAGCTGGGAAATAATTTTGAATCATAAGAAAGAAGAGGATTTTCACATTCTGCAAGAAGAAAAAATTACTTCCCCTGAAATTTTGCACGTGTTCGTGTCAAGTCCTTTCACTCTCTTGTCATTTTACATTACATCCTCAGTGGAAAAGAAAAAAAAAAACTAAAAACAGAAAATCCATCTTTTAGAATGCAATTCCCACTTTAGCAGAAATATCACTCGTGGAGCAATTAAACTATAACTGTGACATAAATTACAAAACTGAAATAATACCCTTTTGAATGTAAAAGACAAGAAAACATATTCATACACACATGACATAAAAGGAAATTCCCCACAGCTAGCTATATTTGTTCATGCCTGATAAGCAATGATGCCGAAAAACAAACATACAACAATAAAAAATTTTCTTCAGACGAACTTCATGAAGTACTCATTGCTTACAGAAGCACATTATAATCCCTTAAAATTTATTAATCCTAATGTGTTTTAGCTTTGTGTGTGTGCATATGATATGTGACATTGTTAATCACCCATTTCTATTCATTTCCTTCTATAAATATGTTACAGACAAAAAAAAGAAACTATGAAAATGAATAGCTCCTGTATGTATGTGATACATGTGTAAGTGGCTTGTTTCTTTATTTGGTGCTGTGAAACAGATGGATCCTGAAATATCAGAATAACTTGCCAATTTGATGTGATGATAGTGACAATGACACTGTCTATTAGCTATTGCACTTTGCAAAGTGATTTGCATGTATATTCCCACTTAATTGTACCAAAAACTGAAAGGTATTACAACAGTTTTAGAAATAAAATAGCAAGGTTAAGAAACGTTAAGTAAGTTGTCCAAAGTCACACAGCCACTAGGTGGTAGAACAAAGATGTAATTTAGACAGTGACCTTAGAACCCTAACTTTTTACCATACTCCCTCTTGAGTAGCAGTCAGTATTTAATGTCTGTGTTTAGCCCAAAATGTACCATAGAAAACAGCTTTCCACAAACACAGACAGAAATATTTTTCCAGAAAAAGAGATAATATATGGCATGTTAAAAGACCTCTACCTTTAGTCATAAAAAGAAAATATATTTTCTTTGCAAATACATTCTATATTATCATATAGGAAGTATTTGCATTCATTTACTACAATCAAGTATATATGTAGAAGATGTACACCTGTTAAAAATAAGCTACAGAGAGATGCCAATGGTTTCCATTACTGGAATTTTAAATGACAAAACCATCGAATAAGCTAGTCTAAACTATACATTATGGGATTAAATTAATTAAGTGATGTAGTAAGTTCATATTCCACAAAATATCCATGCTTCTCTCACTCAGCGTCTTCCTTCTAAATAATAATTTTGTAATGAATATTGAAATGACTTAAGTGAAATAAAGTACTCCCTATACAACAGTGGGTAAAAATAACTTAATTTTTAGGAAATATAATGGAATTTTTTTCCTCTCTCTTTCAATATAATTATTGAATTCTCTTTCAATATAATTATAAAACCATTGTTAGATAAAAACTAAAAATCGGACCCGTTGCCACTGAGTCGATTCCAACTCATAGTGACCCTATAGGACAGAGTAGAAATGCCCCATAAGGTTTCCAAGGAGAGGCTGGTGGATTCCAATTGCTAAACTTTTGGTTAGCAGTCAAAAGCTTAAACACTTTGCCACCAGCGCTCTGGTACTTGTAAGATAGAGGAACTCAAATGCAGAGAATAGAACATTAATTATTGTTCTAAGAAGATTCCAAAATCAAACCTGTTGTGGTCAAGTGAATTCAAACTCATAGCGACCCCATAGGACAGAATAGAACTACCCCATAGGGTTTCCAAGGCTATAAATCTTTATGAATCTATCTTGGAGAAAGTAAAACCAGAATACTCCTTAGAAGCAAGGATGACAAGACTAGGTCTCATATACTTCGGACATCTTATCAGGAGGGATCAGTCCTTGGAGAAGGATATCATGCTTGGTAAAGTAGAGGGTCAGCAAGAAAGAGGAAGACCCTCAGTGAGATGGATTAACACAGTGGCTGCAACAATGGGCTCAAGCATAACAATGATTGTGAGGATGGCACAGGACGAGGCAGTGTTTCCTTTCATCGTACATACGGTCACTATGAGTCGGAATCTACTCGATGGCCCCTAAAAATAACAATAACAAATCTTTACAGGAGCAAACTGTCACATCTTGCTTGCCCAG